ATAAGCATTATACTATACTCTAAATCAATGAACTTTCAATGTGTTTCAGTAAAAGAGCCAAACAATACTTGATTTTTCTTTTTTAATAAGAGAAAACAGGCAGTGAGGGAGGAATTAGTGCACTCTTTGGCTTCTTACTTGACAAACTTGTTTTTCCACAGTAAATCATTGAAAAGACCATTGCATGGAAAAATACATTATGTTTCAGGGAGAAATAAGGAAAGTTTTAACACCAAACACCCTAGTCATTACCTCTATTCAATTTCCCACCCTCAAACTACTCCACTCTGACTTCCAGTATCATCCTCTCTCCAAAACTGCAAATATTAAGGGTCACTTAGGAGCTGTCAATAAATCCAGGTCAGGGTTGGGGCTATGGCTCAGTGGTAGAGACCTTGCCTAGCATGTGTGAGGCACTGGGTTCAAACCTCAGCACCACATAAAACATAAATAAATAGGGTTTAAAAACATAATCAGAAAAAAAAAAAGAACATTGGCTATACTACAGCTGTGTGCCCTATCTCACTGTGCATTTGTATTATTATCACAACATATGGAAATGTGAAATAAAATAAAAATAAGCCCAGGTTTTTATTCCTATATACAATGCTCAAAAGCTTTGGACAGTATTACTTCCTCCTTGAAATAGTGAACTCAATTTCTGTAGCTCTTAAAACACCCTTATATAAGGTTTCTCTTACCTCATTAGCTGCTGCTTCCTAGTCAATGCATACTTCTTTATCTAACCTTTCCTATTGGAGCCCTTAAGAACTTAGTACTAGGCCGCCTTCTACTCTCATGCACATCTTGAATTAGCTCCTCCTCCCCATGGCTTTGATACAATCCATGTACTAATAACTTTTTTTTCCCCTTATCTCTAACACAGACCAAAACTCTAGATTTGTGTATCTATATACCCAACTATCTCCAGACATGACCACATGGATGTCTAACCAACATCTCAAACACATCATGTCCACTATCTTCTCCCCAAATCCTGCATCTTCTTTATTTTTCCTGTCTTATCCTTGTTCAAGTGAGAAATTTGGAAATCATCCTTGATACTTTCTACTTCCTTAGTCCCACAGCTGATCAACCACATAATCCAGACAAGTTGACCTGATTCTCAGTTATATATTATTTGCCTTCTCTGTTGCCTCCACTTATTCTGAGAAATCTTTACTGAGTTCTTTTCATGCCAATATTTCTTTAAACCATATTCCACATTTATTATTTTTAAATATAAATTTGAGCACGTATCCCTCTTGCTTAAAATTCATTAGTTTTTATAGTTCTCAGGGAAGTATGCTGCTTCCTGTCAAAGGGCCTTTTATTTGTCTTCCTCTAACGCACTTAACTAAATTAATTTCTACCCACTTCTGTATAAATTTCCCCGTTTCATGGATTAGATCCAGTTGCCCTATTATTTCAGCATTATCTCAACAATTAATTATATAACAAATTACTTAGGATCAGTCTTCCCCACTATACTATGAATCCTGAGCTGAGTGGTCTGTTTTGACTTTGTTCATCAACAAACTCCCAGATAATAGGTACTCTTCAAAATTGCCATTTTGACTGTAGGTAAATTTTGACTTCATGTTTTTGAAAATATTTATGAAAGACAGAATTATCTCAAAATTAGTTTTCATCTGGAAAATAGTTTTAGAAAATAAACTCATTTTTGTTTTTACTTTAAAGACTTGATACTCTCAGAAAGTTTACTTGGGAAACAATTGCTCTAAGATTCACCAGCCACTTCTTTCTGTATTATATCTTAATGATTACAGTTTTTATCAATGTGAGTTTTTTTAAAACCATAATTTCTAACAAATGTAAATTGCTCATTTTGTATAACTAAATTTAGTCAAGATTGTATTAATCCACCAATTTTTAGTCAAAAATTAGTGGCCGGTTTTCAGATACATTACTTGTCAATGTGTTATTTTCGTTGTTTTTAAGCCCGATTTCCCAGAGAAAGTTTGAAGGTTTTTAGCAGTAACAAAAAAGATGGGGTGATTTGACCAGTTTTTGAACTTTAAAAAATTTTGTGTTGTGCAACTGTAACCAATTTTAATTAGTATTTAAGTAATTCTAATAGCTGTAGTTACTATAAATCAAATAAAGCACTGGTAATAACTTTTTTTTTAATGTGGCCTTCTGCTTTTTATTGGGTTATTCAAGAGAAAAATATAATTTCCTTTAAATAGTCCAAGAGTTCCCTAAGGCAGGGTAAAAAGAATGTCTCATCAAAATGACTCGGGAAAACATCCTAGATCAAATATTCTATTTTCACTGTCTAAAAAATTATTGTTATATCCAAGAACACTCCAATACCACCACCAGCAAGAAAAAAAAAAAGAAAAAGCTGAATTAAATAAAGCATAATAATTAAATTCTGGGAACTCAGAAATTACTTATAATTAACTTTGAAATAGCCTTAGACTCTCCAGATTTAATACACTCTCGCAGAGCAGGGGAAGAGCACAAACCAAGGAGCCAGACTGCATGTGTTTAAATCTTGGAATCCACCATTTAATAGCTAGGTGGCCCTGGAAAAGTACTTATTAGAACATTTTGTGACAGTTTATGATTCTATAAAATGAAAGGAATACTAATACCTACCTTCAAACTGATCATGAACATCAGATAACAGATGTAAAATGCTTAGAACCATTCTTGTCACATAAAAAATGCTCCCTAAGTGTTTACTACTGTCATCATCATTTTACCTTTGCCCTGTTACCAACAGTCCCATTTAAAATATTATGTAGGTGCAGGGCATGGTGGTACATGCCTGTAATACCAGCAATTCGGGAGGCTGAGGAATAGGATCAAAAGTTCCAGGCCAGCTGTAGCAACTGAGCAAGACCCTTTCTCAAACGAAAAGAAAAAAGGGCTGGGAATGTAGCTCAGTGATAGAATACCCTGGGTTCAATCTTCAATATTTAAAAAAAGAAAAAAAAATCTACCTACTTGGACAGGTGAAAGAAGATGAGTAACTCCAAAAAATACAATGAAGATCAGTAATGGAATGGTGGAACATCACAACCTCCTAAATCTAGACTATCTGTACAACAGAAAATATTGACTTACTATGTCCCAGGCTAACCACTCTAAAAAATTCCAATCTAACAATATGTTATTTCTAAACTTGGTTCTGATCTATATCCCCCTTGACCATGTACTGTACTTCCCAAATCAACAGATCTGCATGAACATGACAATTGAAGGCCCATCAGCAAGATTACAAAGTAAGGATGCTTAAAATCATGCTTTGAAGAAGATAATGCCATTTACTATTAATAGTGGGCATTATCATCTTAATGAAAGATTCCTAAGTATAGGATGACTTAATTATATATCCCACAACTGCAAGCCTTTAATACTGTAAACACAAAAGTTGTTTTCAGTGGTACAATAAAATTTAAAATATCTCAAATAATAAAAAATGCAAAGAGTCTTGCAGATTGTTTTTGTTTCAAAATTACCAAATCTCTAGAACTTTTAACACACATTAACATATAACTGCAAAATGAATTTAAGACTAAAAGATTTTATTAAACTAAAAATTATAAAACATTAATGCATAAGTCCCTTCAGACAGATAATCAGCCATAGTTTTCTTATCTAATAAAAGAAATTGAATGTCAACTAAGTACAAATATCATTATGTGTAAAATAAACTTAGAAGATACTTTTTTGCATTAGAGATCATTTTCTGAATATCCTTTATAAGCATGACAGGGACTATACAGTTCATATTTCTTCAATACCTCATGTCTAAGAATATATGCAGCAAGAACAAAAATGAAAAAAATAATCAAACTACAATATTTCCAGGTATCTAAATTATCTGCTTGACATTTTTAATTCATTTAAATATGAGTTATACATCAATTTCAATTATGACATTTGTTACTGAACATGCAAAGCTTTATTTTAAAAAAAACACATATATTGTTGATTGAAATGTAAAAACGGTACAATCATTTTGGGGAAAGGCCTGGCAGTTTCTTAAACATTAAATGTAAAAGTTCCCTAAGCAGGCATTATGTCCACAATAAATCCGTAGAATATTCATAAAATACTTATACATAAGAGCCAAAATCTTGATATTTCCCAGAAGTCCATCAAAAGAAAATGGGTAAATTTATATATCTATACAATGAAATACTATACAGCAATAAACTATTAATACAATATATGAAATCAGGTGAATGTCAAAAACACTAAGTTAACCTAAGTTAAGACCAAGTTAAAAAAGAAGAAAGAATGCACTGCCTGGTTCCAATTATATGAAGTTCTAGTACAGGCAAAATCTACTTAAGATTTTTAAACAGAACAATGGTTGTCTGAGGTGCCAGGGGATTGATTTCAAGAAAAGGGCAGGAGGAACTTTCTGATGTGATAACATTCTATATCTTTTGTGTGTATGCACAGTACTGAAGATTGAACCCTGGGCCTCACCCAAGATAGGCTAGCACAGAGCTACAGTGTAAATTCTTTCCCACTCTGTGGAATGATTAATCTTAAATCAACAAGGAGCAAGATAACCTGAAACATCTCCAAGTCCACATTTCTTTTCCTCCAGTTCTTACATCATTTTAAATTCTGATTGGAGTTTGAGCAATACAAATGTAGGTATTTTCCAAAACTTATCAAATCATACATTTAAGATTTCAAAACTACACAAATATTTATTTTTGTGCAAATAAACATAAGACTCTAGTAATGTTGAAATGTTTAGAGATAACTATTCTAATTTTGTAACATGCTTTAAAATAATGTTTTTCTTGAAGCTGATCCCAGCATATATGGTGAAAAGGATCAGTTTCAGAGGTTCTTTTAAGGATAGGGCCATCAGAACGAGCTAATGGACTAGATGTGGGCAGTTAGGAAAAGACAGTAATTAAAAATGGCTTCTAAATTTTTAGCTTGACCACCAAGTAATACAATATACTGAGACCAGAGGAGGTACAAGGAGTAATAAGGATTACCTTTCTTCCCCATCCCAGGCAGGGTTTTCTGTCCTTGAGCACACAGCCACCACAGGAATAAGGAATGGCTCCAGAAGACCCACGACACAGACTCTGGGACAGTAGTGCCCTGTGTCTCTCCTTTCTTAGCAAAGCAATAAAACTTGTTTTTCTTTTTTCTCAATAAAATAAAATAATAATAATAATAGTGGTTTCCTTAAAAAATGGAGGGTTAGATAAATATGCAATAAAGCAAATATAGTAAAACATTAACTGATATTTTGAATTGATTTAAATACTAGAACTTTTTCAATTCTGACATTACAATTATTGAACATGTAAAGCTTTACTTAAAAAAAAACACACTATTTTTTTTTTAAAGAGAGAGTGAGAGAGGGAAGGGAGAGACAGAGAGAATTTTTAATATTTATTTTTTAGTTATCGGCGGACATCTTTGTTTTTGTATGTGGTGCTGAGGATCAAACACGAGCCGCACGCATGCCAGGCCAGTGCGCTACCACTTGAGCCACATCCCCAGCCCAAGAAAAACACACTATTGAATGAATTATAAGATGGTATAATCACTTTGGGGAAAGGTCTGGCAATTTCTTAAAGTCAAATGTATAAGTTCCCTAATCAAGCATATGCCAAGCAAAATCTAAGTGGTAGGTATATGAATATTTATTACGAAATTCTTTCAACTTTTTATTGTATATATGAATGATTTCTTAATAAAAATGTTAGGGTTTGTAAAAATCTTTGTTTATTCCATACCATTTTTTGGGTGGTGGTGCTGAGGATTGAACCCAGGGGTTCTCTACCATTGACCTACACTCCCCAGCCCCCACCCCTTTTTAACTTGGATTTTGAGATGCACCCCTTTTTAACTTTGATTTTGAGACAGGATCTTGCTAACTTGTCCAGGCTGACCTCAATCTTACAGTCTTCCTGCCTCAGCCTCCTAAGTAAAGGGGATTACAGGAGTGCATCACTGCACCCAGCACCACACATACTTTTAAAACACAAAAGATCTATTAATAAAGTGTAATACTAATACATCCATTTTTTTTCAATTGCCTAGGCTAACTTGATTGGTAGTTTTATTTGCATTTACTCATTTATTTTGCTTTCCACTATTTATAAAGCTACTGAAAACTTTAAATAATTTCAAATCATAGCTACTAGTTTTAATCAATTTAAAAGACATATAAAAAATTAAACAATTTCTCAAAATAATACATAAAGATTTAGTATAATTCTGTTAATGTTTAATTTAGTTGCATACTTAAAGAATTTTCTCTTGTATTTAATTATGCAATATTTCATTTAATTCTTTTTATAATCAAATTCACTATCAAATATTTTTAAAGATTTTTTTTTTTTTTTTTTTTTTTTTTTTTTTTAAAAGAGAGAG